GATAATTGACTTGTGATCATCTTTAAACTCTTAATTCCAGGTTTTTTTTAAAATTTAAATTCCACTATCTGCCATGGTGGAAGTTGAACCTGGGTACTCAAAACATTACCTGGGTCCCTGGATTAACAGTTCAGTGATAATACCACTAGGTTGTTGACTCCCATCAAAACAGTATAATATAACATAACAAAAAACACATCTTGTGATGTAGTTCTGTTGTTTAACTGAATGGCAGACCCAGCTCAAGGGGCTAAGTGGCCTATTCCAGCCTGTTTTCACCCCTGTTTAAATATTAAGTGCTTCTCATTGGATCGCAACAGTAAACCCTAGAGGAGTTCATGATTGTAGCTCTTGGATTAACAGAGGGCAAGGTCAGGAGATCAATTGGTGTGAATGCTTGACAGATTCAGGACAGGTTTTGGCACCTGATTAGTGACCTCTTGAGTTCCAGTAAATGCTACCATCTACATACAAAACTCATACAGGCGTAATGGTTAATTCAGTAAATACTAAAGAATGACAGCTTCATGCGGGAAAGTCAGAGTCAATGGTTTTAGAAGAGAACATTGCAGAGAAAGAAATGAATGTATATTCTGCACTGGTTAATTATTCTTCAATTGCATTAAGAATGTAGGCAAAATGGTTCCCAGTACATGTGGCAGAGAAAAGTGTGCTTGCAACCTGCATTGGTACGTTACACTATTATAATAATTCAAGCTTCATTAGGTTGTTACCAGGGATGGCAGGACTGTAGTATGAGGAAAGATTGGTTCAACTGGTCCTGTATTTAAAAGAATGAGAGGCGATCTGATTGAAATGTATAAAATTCTAACAGGAAAGCGTAGACACGGTACGGTGTCAGGTGTATTTCCTGGCTGGAAAATCTAGAGCCAGGGATCACAGTGTCAGGATACAGAGTAGACCATTTAGGTCTGAGATGTCGATACATTTCTTCACTTAAAGGGTGGTCAGCCTATGGAATTCGCTACCATAGGTGGCTGTGTAGGCCAGGTCACCGCGTATATTCAAGAAAGATTTGTTTTTTTTTTCAGAATTTAAAGGCATCAAAGCAATATGGAGAGAAGGCAGCATTGTGGCATTGAGATAGAGGATCAGCCATGATCATATTAAATGGTGGAGCAGACTGGAAGGGCTGATTGAGCTACTCAGCTCCTAGTTTCTATGTTTCTACGGAATTCAGCACCTTGTATCGATCTAAGATTACTTTGTTAAGCTGTTGTCTTTTATGAGCACTGCTGATGGTTAAATATCCCAATAAGGAATTATCATATTAATTTGGCTATTGAACACTTTGAACATAGGACTAATTGGGATTTTACATTGTTGCTGAAGTGCACATATTTTAATAAGGCATAATATTATTCAAAATGAGATTTCTCATGTCTTCATTGCAGAACTCTAAAATATTAGAGCTCAGAAAGATGCACATTGTGGGTGTTGTGATACTTTTGAAGGTAAAGGTAAGTTGCTCTGTCATTTGGGAGTTACAACTGGCCGTGGTTTAACCTGAGGGTCACCACGCCTCAGCTGAGAAAGAAGGTTGAGAAGGAGGCTCCTTCATGCTTTTGATAAACCTTTTCTCATCCATCTCTTTCGCTTGTTCAACACTGTCAATAATATCCTGATAAAGAAACCAACGAATTATGGATGCCGGAAATCAGAAACAAACAGAAATCACTGGAAAAGCTCAGCCGGTCTGGCAGCATCTGTGTACAGAAATCAGCGACAACATTTTGTGTCCAGTGACCCTTCTTCAGAACTCATTAAAATCTTTCTTTTTCAGGGAACTAGCTATGTCCTTTTCAAGAGAATTATGTCAATAAAATTCTACATCCAAATGCTTCTCTAGCCCCAAATTTGTGGTTCTAGGAAAACACAGAGCTACAAAAAAATTGCCCACTCACCTCACTTTGCCATCCAGACCAGGGGATTTGTCTGGTTTGAAGCCTGATAGAGCCTCCAATACCTCCCCATTTCCTATGTCAAACTGTGCAAGATCCTCATAGTCCCTTTTCCTAAATTCTGCACCTACATTGTCCTTTTCCAGAGCGAAGACTGAAGAGAATTATTCATTCAGCACCCTTCCAATCTCCTGTGGCATCACACATAGGTTTCCCCCTTGGTCTCCAAAGGGCCCTACTCTTCCCTTTAAAGTATTTATAAAATGTCTTAGGATTCTCCCTAATCCTGTTTCCAAGGCCTTTTTCATACGCCCTTTTTGCTCTTCGACTTGGAAGGAGCAGTTGAGGGGTTCAGTTTTGTAAATGTATAGGTAAAGGCAGTGATTTAGAAATGTTTGGGGAAGCAGGTTTTAACTGAGTATCTCGTTTTGTTTCAGTCTGTATTTTGTGCCATAACTCCTTACATTTGCTTTTCTGTTCTCACCACAGTTGTGCTACTTAGACATGTTGAAATCTGCAATGCACTGCACCATTTGTGCCTCTTTGAAGTAGAGTTACTCTAATGTAAGTGTTTTTAACCAACTTGTTCAGATGTGTTCTGACACGCCCTTGGAGCTGGTGAGATTTGAACTATGGTCTTCTAGTATGGAGGTAGAGACACTACCACAGTGTAACACAAACCCTCTAAATAGTTGGTTGATGTATGTTTTAAATCAACCCCTTCAGCTGTGTTATAACATGACTCTGGAGCAGAGATGTTATGCTGCAGTTATATAGGGTGCTGATGAGGCCAAACCTGGAGTACTGTGTATGGTTTTGGTCTCATTTCTTGAGAAAGGATGTACTGGCATTGGAGTGGGTGCAGAGGAGTTTCACTTGGTTGTTTATGGAATTGAGAGGGTTGGGTTATGAGGAGGAATTGAGTAGAGTTCTAAAGACTAAAGACTAAAAGTTCTGAGACTAAACTCATCAGAATTTAGAAGCAGGGAACTTATATAAACATGAAATTATGAAGGGAATAGATAAGATCAAAGCAGGGAGGTAGTTTCTACTGGTAAATGAAATTATAACTGGGGGGATATAGCCTCAAAATAATGGGCAGCCGATTTAGGATTGAGCTGAGGAAGAACTTCTTCACCAAAAGGGTTGTGAATCTGTGGAATTCCCTGCCCAGGGAAGCAGTTGAGGCTACCTTGTTGAATGTATTTAAGGCAAAGATAGATGGATTTTTGAACAGTAAAGGAATTAAGGGTATGTGGAGCTGAGTCCACAAAAAGATTAGCCATGACCTCATTGAATGGCAGACCAGTCTCGAGGGACAAGATGGCTGACTCCTGCTCCTATTTCTTAAGTTCTTATGTTCTTCTGTGCCACAATACCTCTGCACACAGGAGCTCAAGTTATTCCAGTGTAACCTTATTTAAAGTAGAAAATCTAGACTTAGTATTTTATCACCCGCCACAGTAGATCTAACTGGGAATAATATCACAGCTGAAACTTGCCATTTGAATATTCAATCATTTCAACACATCAACTATTGACGGGTAGCATCCAACTGAATTGGTCCACATTTGTGCAAAAACTGCATGTTTTGCAGGAGTAGGTAAGGCATATTAAATCCACAGTATGTGCTGTTTTTGCAAAGGAACATAAATATTCAATCATTCAGCGACATGTTGGTTTAACATTATAAAAATACATTTGCTGATCAGAACAGCATTACTCAGAATACAGCCGAATGAAATCATGTCACACTATTTGCCTTTCTTTTGATGTATCATACTGAGGTTATAATGGGAATGATGCATGGATAAATGTTATTCCAAAACATAAGATAAGCCTGCACTGTGTTATCTATTATTGCAATATAAAATCATGTCAGCAGTGTCATATATCATTATTATTCTGCTACCAAATATGCTCCTTAATATCAACATGATGCATATTTGTGCCATAAAAGTGGAACATGTCCTCCATTGGTATCTTATAATTATGTTTAGAATTAATGGATCAGGGTAGACCAGTCCATTTCTGATGCTACATTTCCCCTATATAATTTCCAATAACTTTAAAATAGTGTACATTGTATTGATGCACACAATCACACCACACAAATCTGTAAATAAACTGCACAAACCTGTACATAAACTATACCTATCAGATACAGACTAACCACATTTTAAACACAGAAACACAAAGTCTTCTCTGCAAACTGCGCCATACCCATTAGTCAATTGTGGAAAACATGCATATTACTATGCATGCAATATTCTGAACAGAAATACACATATTCACGCTACACACAGTCACCACAAGATATCACATTCATCGCACATATATACACAAACATACAAATACCATACAGGAAGCCATATCACACATTCCTCCCACAGACATCAATAAACAACATTAATGAACTGGCTACTCATATCAACAGCTTATCGCATAACATTTTATACACACATAGAAAACATAGAGCACACTTACTCACACATACAGTACGCTCACACAGACTCACATGCTCACATATAAATTTTCACTCACACACGTGCATATGCTCACTCGCAAACTCACGTGCGCGCGCACACACACACACACATACACACGTATACACACACACACGCTCACGCGTGCACACACTAATGCATGCACACTCATAAACATGCACACCCACAGAGTCATAAACACATTCACATTCACACAAGCACATATATTAACCAAACACATGTCACACATTACATAATGATTACATTAACACAGACAAATGCAGATTAACAATCACATTCACCATAAATGATGGACTGGAGTCAATTTTCAACTTCGCATGTGTATTTTATTTGAATTGCGTGCTCCAACACAATCCTGAATACAAATAGCACACTGCTTTTTTCCATCCAAGGTTATGAACTATATGCTCATGAAGAGCTAACAGCTGCTGCAAGACCCATCTATCCAATTAGTTAACAGTGAGTGGAGAATTCACTGAACAATCTATGTCAGGTTTATCAGTGATTGCTGTGGACTAAAAACAATGACCACTGACAAAAAATAAAAGTTTTGCTTTTATTTTCATTTTACCTGGCCAACGGTGCCTCTCCTGGGTCCAGAGAATGTCTTCAAGCCACTTACAACATGTTCCACCCTCCTGCACTTCTCTTCCTCTATTACTTCCTTGTGGGCTACTGTCACAGAAGCAGCCATTTCACATTGGTCCTGATCACACTGACAAGCTGTCCCTGAATGACTAATTGGTAATCACAGGTCACAAAAAACATGCTGATTTGACCCAAAGTCCAATTTGGGATGGTTGTCAAGCTTCTGGAACTCCCAGTTGTTAATTCCAATCTTAGCCCTGCAATTCATGCATTGGCTTCTCATGACAAAGCTTCTCCAAGACATCCATGTGAAGAATTTATTTTCAAAATCCACTCATTGTTGCTATGTGTGCATTTTGTGTCTGCAATATCCCCATAAAGAGTAAATGGGATAGAATGGGATGAATGGGACAGAAATAACAGTTATCAGTCTTGTGCATGGAGGGAGGAATGCAGATTTGGAATGTTCCTGCTCATCTTTGAATAGTGCCATGTAAATTTAATACACATAGGTGGATGCTTGGTGAACAGCATTAGCCAAAATCTAGCTCCTCAAAAAAATTCATTGCTTCAAAAGTGAAAGTGGCTATAGTAACAGAGGACCAAAGGTGCTTTCTCAGTAGAGAGAGATGACTGGTGGTCAGCATAACCTGAGGGTCATGACCCCTCAAGTGAAGGTGCACACATCACTCATAGGACATGGGTGTGGCTAGCCAGAACAGCATTTGTTGCTCATCCCTAATTGCCCTTGTACTGAGATAACACACTGTGGAGCTGGAGGAACTCAGCAGGACAGGCAGCATCAGAGGAGCAGGAAGGCTGCTTTCCTGCTCCTCTGATGCTGCCTGGCCTGCTGTGTTCCTCCAGCTCCACGCTGTGTTATCTCAGACTCCAGCATCGGCAGTTCTTATTATCT